TTCTCAAAAGCGTACACAGAAAAACAAGATGAAAACAAAAGGAATTTGAATACAGTATAGTAGATGAAATGAGGCTGAGTGTGGGTGTATAGATCTTATTCTTACCCACACGCACACACATACACACATCCACACCCACACTCGCCCCACACCGACCTTCACCCACACCCACACCCGCACCGACACCCACACCCGCACCCACATCGACACCCACACCCACATCCATACCCATCCATCCACACCCACACTAATTACAATAATACAAATAATGGAGAATATTATCCGAATTAATTTTCTCTTTCGAAAATGTTCATAGCTAGAATAATACATTTTTGTTGATGATTTATTTTTATTTACAATATATACATACAATCTTCTGAATGGTGTTGGACTAGAGTTAATTACTGCCGACTAAAATATTTAAAAATGAAATAAGATTATTTTCTTTGTACTTAATATATTACTTCGTCAGGTCCAACTCTCTTGTTCATGTTCATAGTTGTTGTTTTATCTGAACTTGAATATTTTTTACAATCTAAAATCGATAAAGAAAAAACCTTTTTGTGTTTCCAACTTGTTAAATAATGAATACTGATATAATTATAGAAAACATCAATTAACTCATCGAATATTTTTTTAAAATATTTATGTGATTTGATGTTTTAATAATTCATCAATTTAAATCAAAATAAAAAACAATCTCAAATAATCAGTGTAGAATATTGCTGCATTGGCAGCAACAACAACAAAAGAATCCTATCTCAATAAAAATATTAATCTTATTTCCTTTTTTTCAAAGTTAGTTTTCAATAAAATATTGGCAGATGTTAGTTGTTATTTTTTATTAATGTAAAATCTCTGTTGAATAAAATAGAGAAGTAAAAAAAGAGAAAGTCAGGTAATGACGTCAAATGCTGCATAAAATACATTGAGAAAGAATAGAATATTTATTGTTAGCAATATTTTGTATTTAACATTTTCAGCAGGATTCAGTTTTTTTTGGAAAACTTTTTCAGATGTTCAGTTTAATGAGCACTAAGCTTCCAGAAAAAAGTACATTTAATGACGTCTTCATAATTTTCTATTGATTATTTATCGTTCTCTCCTGTGTAGCGTCACATAATGAGTCATTTTTGCGATCAACGTAGTAATGACTAAAATTACTTTTTTATACTTTTTCACGTTGATAGGTAGTATAAAGTGAGACATATGAAGAAAATCTCTAGTTTTTTCTTGTATATTCTTATCTCTCTATTCTTTTGTGTATTTAAACGATCGAAATTGTGAAATAGTTCGCGTGTCGTTTGAAAAAAACGACACAGAAGATAGCGTTAGCTGACTTCTTTGAAGGATGTGGGTGTGGGGTGTGGGTATAGATGAGTCTGTGTGAGTGTGAGTTTACAGTGATTGTGTACTCACACCCACACCCACACCCACACCCATTTTTCGAACAATAATAATAAAAATTCGAAGTAGGATAGGTTGTTCAAATTGAAACTGCAAGGTAGGCTTTGCTTCAAAGAGTATATTCCTGGGAAAACGTACAAGTACGGTGTACAGATTTACAAGCTATAACGGATACAAATGGAATACATCCAAAAATACGGGATCTATACTGATGTGCAAGACCTTATAACAGATCTTGGACAAGCTCAAGCAGTGTTGATGAATTAATTACATAGAGTCTTGTGGGATGCTATAGAACTATAATCACTGACAAGTTCTTTACTAGTATTTCTCATGTGAAATGTTTGGTGGAGTATGGTACGTAACTAGGTGAGAGTCGAAGAAGTAATCATATCGATTCTACAAGCAAAATTTTTCAAAATAAACCTTGGACACATACACAAGACCGTCGCAATCAATAACTACGATAAACACTGGAAAAACCTATAGTAAAAATGAGCGCAGAATGGAACTGCAAGTTGTACTATATGCTTTATGAGTTGATGAGCTGCAAGGACAGCATCTGAATATATAGGTCTCGATAATCTTTATTGGCTTAGATACTTAGACACAATGGTAATATCTGAGTGATGAGCTTCTTTTTAATCTCACCGTCATAATGAATAGACGATAAAGAATAATACCTTTTGTATTTTAACGATATCTTATTTGTTTTTCATTATTGAGACGATGTTTTTTCGAAAAGATTCCTCATTTAATTCTCTACAAAACCATGCAAGAAGCTTTATTATAAAATGTCGTACTGAAAAATCCTGAGAGTTAAAATGTAAGATACAAACTGGGTGTACTTTCAAACGGATTTTTTACTTGAAATTAATTATCATTTATCTTGGTCTGCCAAGGGACAGACTAAGCAGAAGGAAATTTTCCTGTATTTTCAAGTGTTAGTTGTCAGTGCACCTAGTAAAGCTTGTTCGAGTAAGAGATGTACGTGTGAGTATGGATACTGATTATGAATTAGATGAATACTCACACTCACACTCTCCAGATAATATATATTTTAAACAAAAATAAATAACAAAGAAAGTTATTGAACTTTTGTTGATTATAACCGAGAAGACAATATTCATGTCTTTTATGTACCATTTTATATCGATAAAACAATCTTAACAAAAACGTTGCTTACAGTTCTTATCTTGATTTTGTCATTTTCTAGTTAATATCATTTCTTTTCTTCCAACAAGTAATTATAACACCATGTGAAATCTATGACACAGAATAAATATCAACTTATTTAATGATAAGATAGAGAACAGTATATATAACCAGCATCTAAGGCTACGCAGCACACCTTTCTTCAACAATCTACAATGGCAAATCAAACAGCAACCAATTTTCTTACATTACCGGTAGAACTGGTTTATCGAATTTTGGACTATCAGTCAGACTTTACAATGCTGTGTTCCATGGCAAACGTATGTCAACGGTTCAATAGCATTCTGGATAGCTACGATCGATATCAGGTAAACTTTTTGTTGTCAAGATTACTTAGTTTTTATCCATTAACTCTTGAATTATTTTTCATTCCTACAATCTCTATGCAAGTAGAATGGTTTTTATAAAACAGACGTGAATAAACTATTTGTCACTCAAAATAACTCATCAGCTATCCCTCTACCCACAAAAATTCATTTCTTGTATTACGATAATATGAAAAATAATATCTTGATAATTAGAAAACCCAGTTCTTTTTTTTCTTTCTATATGATTTCTTTTAAATATTCCACGTTTCAAATAAAGTACGATGTTATAAACATGCAGTGTTTAAATAAGAACGAAAAAAAAAGATAAAACATTATTATTTGTGTTTTACGTGTATGTAAGCACGTTGTTTTTAAATACCATTTCAATAATAAAAATCAGCTTTTGACAGAAATTAACCTTCGAAAAACTAGTTTATCTTGTTATAAATAACCTCTTTGATATTCCATTGAGAGATGCTTCCGACAGATACTCCTTTGAAAACATGTGCGATCGAGAGTGGCGGTGGCTGTAAATGCAGAAAATATTGGCTCGCAACAACAATCAAACTTACACTACCAAGATGGAATATTTCTTCAAGGAATACTACTTCTAAAGCAAATTATTACTCAAAATAATCGCTTCGAAACGGATTTCATTTGAACCACGTTTTATTAAGAATGGAATCTCGAAAATGATTCGTCAGCGTTATTTTCTTGCATGACATTTTAGCATTTATTCACCTTCTTCCCATAATCAGTCTAACATTACACAATAAATTATTTCACTTTTGACTTTTATAAATCAATCTAGCTTCATTAACACAATCGTATAGCTGCATCAAAAGCAACTATTAAAATCGATATATATTCTCACTTATATAAGTCATACGCATCAATAAGACTAAGTTCGATAACTTAAACAGAGTTCTGATCTAAACCACATATCGAGTCTAAATAATAAATGTAAAGAAAACCGTCCGCTACCTTCCGATAAGAAACTATCTTTCGTCATATCTAAAGAACAGTTAGAAGCGCTGCATCATACCTTACTACGCTCGAAACCATTTATTGCAATACATTGTTATTTGGGTACATAATACTATTATCGCAATTGTTTTCCGCAGAAGTAGCTCAGAAAATATTTTTCCTTTTTTGGCAAACATTCACAAACCAAAGCAACACATGCATGAAAGCTTTCTATACCTAGTTAAGCCTTGCCAAATTCTATTCAGTCCAGGAAATCACAAAACTAGATTGCACACTGCATCATAGACAATGGTATAAACATTCATACATGTATCCATACACCCAACACGCTCGCCAGAACAACATTGATTTCACCGCTCTAACCACATGTAATACCGACTAGCTATTCTGTCTCTTCGTTGCTACCATGTCTTTACCTCCTCTTTCTCATATAGACACTCACCACACGCGATTTATTAGGAAATCACATCGATTATATTAAAGCACGATCTCTGTACCGTGCATTACAACACAATACAGTAACTTTCATTCACTTTTTCTTCGTGTTATGTCTTTAGGGGAACCTTTTTATATAGACACTCATTGTTCTCAACCTCGGATCCAATTCAATCGGTGATCAAGGAGCACAAGATCTTGCCAATGCTCTACAAATCAACAAAGTAACAACAATACTTGTGCTTCTTCTTCTTCTTCACTTTATTTCATCATTTACATACTTTTCATACAGACACTCGCCACACTAGACCTCCGAGCCAAT